GATGAAGCATTTGAGTTTTGTTGGAGCACGTTCGTAGATGAACACAACACTTTACCAAAATCGACCAGGAGAAGCGTAAAATTGAACAAATTTGCATTTTGAACCCCATGACTACCGGATTTATTATGTAAACATTGATTTACGTCATCAGTATGGAATTTCTGTCGCTGAGTCGCAGATGTGGAAACGTCCCCGGCGGCGAGGAGCGAGGGAAAACGGCTGTTTTCGCGGGCTTTCAATTAATAGACCTTTTTTTTTTCTTTCTGGGCAACTTGGTTTCTTTCCACTTTAAACCGCACACAATGAAACGTTAAGGAGCAGTGCAATTAATTATTTTCATTGCTTCTTCAACTTTAATAAAACAAGAGGGGCATCACAGCTGGCCCTAAGGACGACGACGCTCATATTGACGATAATGATTGAGACGATGGTGTGGAGGAAAAGGTTCGAGGAGCATAGTGAGGATAGAGATCATTAGAATTAGAAACTTATTTGCGTTCCGTTTCTTAACTTCACACTAATTTTTTTTTCTGGTGCCCTTAATGTACAGTTAGAATACTTAATAATCATATCATAATCTCACCTCATTCTGTCTTAGCACTTAATACGCATGCAGCTCAACTTGCAGTGTGGCACCATCCCAGTGCATTCTCCCAGTTTAGCCCAAGCAGGACAATTTGAATGTATATCTTTAATCTTAGAGCTACAGCTCTTCTTGTAATTAACCAACATCCAGTCAGGTTTCTTGTCTGTACTGTCGCACCGTCTTGGCCCAGTATGGGCATTCATTCTCATGTTCACCACTATCTCTACACACACGACCAAGGATTGTAATTTTCGGGATCACAGGAGGCGGTGGGCTTGTTTTGGCTGTTGTTGTTCCTATGAGGAATAATATTTTTTCAACATTTCTTTTTTCAATTAAATCTCGTACGAAGGTTCCCTTTAGAGTTCTTCAATCCCGTCATTCCGACGCAAATTTTCCTTTAATCCCGTAATCCCCATGCAGAGATTTTGTTACCTTTGTGTTCTACGTCCCTGACCCATAAAAATCCCCAGGGAAGCAAAGTAATTCATATGCTTCCGCTTGGGACGCAAAGATCGATCGATCAACCATACGATGCCGTTTTTGTAGAATATACTGTTCGTGTGATTTATGTGGCTGTTCTCGAGGCTTTTGCTTAACGACACATATTTCTTTGAGTCTTTGTTGTGCTTTACAATAAAAGGAGTATATTGTTATTTCAGTAAACTGTCATACAGAGTTTTGGAGTCAGATTAACTGCCTGGTTACATAAAGGTCCAAGCATTTTCAATTGAGGATTCATTGTTTTTTGAACTTGGACTCACTGGTTCTGGACTGGGACTCATGATGTTTCACAAGATGAGTCCCATGGAGGACTCACCATAATTAGTAAAATCCAACTAGTGGTCTATTATCAATGCTGCGTTCTGATTCGTTGAGCTACTACTAGGCTATATCTTATAGTCCACTAGTAGCGAAAAGCACCGGCTCTTGAAAACCAAAACAATGGCGGCTGAATCGCGTTTTGCTAGCTAAAGTTGTTTTGTCGCGATATTTTTGACCAACCAGTTGGATTTTACTAAAACAATTATTCCTCTCGCACTCATGGCTTCTGAGTCAATTGACCCCATGGCCATTCGGGCTCGAGGAATAATTGTCAACTACTTGTAACAAAATCACTGAACATGGGTGTTATTGCCATCCCGCATTCTCGCGTATACTTTCAATCACGAATCTCTAGTCCATTATCTCTAAGAAAAGTAGACAAGATATCAATGGCACTGATAGAGCTCGGAAAATCTTTGCTCGTGGAATTCGAAATCCTGGGCTCTGGAGTCCAGAATACAACTCAAGGATTCCGGAATGCTACTAACGATTGGAATCCGGGATACAAGATCCATTGACAAAGAATCTGCAATCCATCACCGTGGAATCCAGAATCCAAACCATCTTGGATTCCCTGTAAACAGCATGAAGACGTCAGCCTGTGCAAGAATTGCTCCAGGTGGTATCCCTGTTTCCTTATATCATTTACTGAGCCACAGTTACAACGATAACCACTAGATAAGGGTATCCTAATTTTCTAAGAATTAATTTGTCCTGCGTGTGATCATACCTTTATTCTCGTGCTTCTGATATATACATCAAAGCTCTGGCATAGGTCTGCTTTTCTTTGTGTTTTCGAATATACCGTATTTCCGCGAATAAACTTCCACGCTCTAATAAACACCCTCTCCCGAATACGCGCCCACCCCAAGGCCATATATCAAATGAGTGCCCCCTCTTGAATAAGCGCCTCCCTCCCTTCCCCTCACTTTCTTAAACGGTAGGGATACATGGAAAACCACCTTCCATTGCCACTTTATTTTAAACTTTTTAAGCTTCGACCACAGCAGAATCAGTAGAGGGAGATAGTTTCTTTTCTGTTAAGTCATTTCCAGTTATTTCTATTTCTATGTGCTTGCAGAGTTCCTTTTAGTGAGTTATCTATCGTCTTTTAATTTTTTGTCCTAATGTCGCGCTCTTGGTAAATACGGTAAACTTCCCAGGAACAACTAGATCGTTCCCTGTTCGCTTAATAAGCGCCCCCTCTATTAAGCGCTCTCCTTCGAATAAGCGCCCATCCTTTTAGCTGAAATTTGAAATAAGCGCCCGGGCGCTTTTTTGAGGAAATACAGTACTCGATTTTAGCTAATTTAAGCACATTTTGGTCACCTTTCTCCTCATCTCTGCTGAAGTAATTTAATAATTCTAGCTGAATTAGATCTACCAAGATAACCTCAACTACAGAAAGTAAGAATTTCCGGTATATACTTACCCTGTACCTTAAACCCGTCGGAGGATCAATGTTCCCTATTCCTTTTTTCCAATATTGGTTTTGCTCTCCTTTCTTGTGAAAAATGTACCAGTTCCTTCCGTCGGATAACGTTAATTTGACGGCCAGCCTTCCCACTATTTTGCCACACATGGAGTAGTAAAATTTCAAGCACCGTCCGCCAGGCCGACCCGACAGCCACGGACTCACTAACTCAGCTCTTTGGCCGGGTGTTGTTCCTGATGACTCCACGTAAAGGTAATATCCTGTTTGGATCAGTATGATTTAAAAAAGTGACAAATTTCGAACCGATACCCCTCTACTAAACTCACGTTAACGGTAATTACTTATTCGGGCCATATTTTGGAAAAGGGGAGGGGAGGGTGTGCAGGTTCCCACATCTTATACCGATCCTCCTGTTTATATAACGTAATCAAAAGGTCCTGTTTAATCGTTAATTTAATTGTAATCCAAATTCATCCAACACTGTTGGAAGCACTAAAGCTGTCTAAGTTACATCTGCTTGGTCATCTTGATGGTTGTTGGATAACGGTCCATAAAACTTAAATCCGAAAGAGGCCACTCTCGTAAGCAGGGGCGCCAGTTAATGGGTATTCAAAAAACGAAAGCAAAAAACAAACAAAAAAACAACAACAGCAAAGAATTTAAAAACAGTACGCATGACCCAGCGCGTTTTCTTTTCACCTATTCCCACCTAGCCTGCGAACAGCAGACTTATTTCCGGTCGTAAAAGTGACTACCGGAAATACATCTGCTGTTCGCAGGCTACTTCCCACCCTGTTAAATCGCGAATACTTTTGAAATCGCTTTTTTTACACGAATAAAAAATTGGGCCACACGAATCCGGTTAATTGAAATGCGGTTTCGAAAATGTCAGGATTCGTGTGGAAGGAACCTTAGTATAAATGACGCATAATGCACGATCTTCATGGGTACAGACTGTAAAAGATTGTTGTTATCACTACCAAAATCTTGCTTCCTTAACCGTAGCCTCCCCCGCAGGCATTCTTAGGGGTGCGTCACGCGTTCCTGCCCCACGAACGTTCGCGGGCAGGAACGCGTGACGAACCCCTAAGAACGTCTGCGTAGGAGGCCACCTTAACCGTTCATGAGTAGGTTGCCGAAAATGGCGCCCTCATAAACAACCATCTCTCTTCTATCTTTTTCAAGGACATTGGGGGACATGTTGATTTTATTATGCACTGACTTATATGTGTCATATCCCTTTCGAAAGTTTGTTTAGCATTTATTGAATGAGGCTGAGTATGCCATGAAGAATAAAGCAGATTGAAGAGGGTGTCATTCGTCGAGGCTAGAGGCCTTTTTTTGTTTAATTTATACATATTTTCTTGCTTATATGCGCCTAATAGAGGGAATGTAAAAATACAAACCTAGTCCAGTAGTATGATTAGCACTAGGTCCAGTATTAATAGTTTGCGTATAGGAACGATGAAACCTCCAATCTAAGTTGTCACTTTTAGAATTGCTCCACATCCCAAGGCGGCCATTCTCAAAGTCAGTATCATCATTATCTGCTTTACACCAGACGATGGTGCTAGGATGAATCAATGGCATGCTGTATGAAACATCACGCGGTCATTATTTATTCATTTATTTGTTAGTTGTGAATAGCAAATTCTAACATTTACGGCCTGTTTACACGAAGGTGGGGGACCCCAGGTAGGTGAAGTAACCCACTTGGGTTACCCCACGTTAACACGTTTGACCCCGGCTGGGAGGGTTACCCAAGGTTGTTACCCCGCCTAAGCAGGTTACCTCGCCGACCTAAGGTCCATCACCTTCATGTAAACTGGCCCTAATTAACACTCCTCAGCAAGATGTTGTCCTTTAGAAAAAGATCACCCTGCACATCACATGAAAAGATGTTTTAGAGTCTGAAAACAATAGCTACACTTGTAAATTGAGATTGTAAAAATTTAAAAAAATTTATCCCTGGCCCCAGTTGTTAAAAAGGTGGATACCGCTATCAGTCGGATAAATCTCTGTCTACTGAATAGCGCAATTGGTTTCGCTAATACTTATCCGCTGGATAGTAATTTATCCTTTGGATAGCGCTATCTAACGTTTGAACAACCCGGGCCTGGTTGATAGTGAGCATAAACGGCCCCAATTATATATAATGATAACGATAATAATAATGATAACGATAACGATAATGATAACGATAACGACAATAATAATGATGATAATAATGATGATGATAACGATAATAATAATGATAGTAATAATGATGATGATAATGATAATGATAACGATAACGATAAAAATAATGATAATAACGATGATGATAACGATAGAACGATAACGATAATAATAATGGTAATAATAATAATAATAACGATAACGATAACGACAATAATAATGATAATAATAATGTTGATGATAACGATAACGATAAAAATAATGATAATAATGATGATGATAACGATAGAACAATAACAACAACGAAAATAATAATGATAATAATAATGATGATGATAATGATAACGATAAAAATAAAGATAATAATAATGATGATGATAAAAATAACTATAACTATAACGATAACGATAACGATAATAATAATGAAAATAATAATGATGATGATAACGATAACGATAAAAATAATGATAATAATGATGATGATAACGATAGAACGAGAACGATAACGATAACGATAATAATAATGAAAATAATAATAATGACGATAATGATAATGATAACGATAACGATAACGATAAAATAAAGTTAATGATAACGATAACGATAGAACGATAACGATAATAATAATAATAAAAAGAGATTTACAATCAACCTGCTGTTACAAAAAATCTAATTAATTCATCAAAACACTATCTACAATTCCATCCGTTACAAAAGAAACCCCTCGTCCTTCATTAGAGAACAAAAACAATCCCATATATTATAAGTGAAGATAGAAAAAACTATTCATTTACAAATTCTAAAAAATAGAAGTAACTTAACCTTACATAAAAGAAGGGGAAATAGATATAATTTATAATAAAAGTTCAAAATTCTATAAAATTAAGAATTCCATTATGCAGAGATATTAAGATCCTGCAATCGAATTATACTAATGACGGCTAAACCAGTGTCCATAAAAAGCCCTAAGTATAAAAGCATATAGACACGTATTTCAGATATCCGCACTAGCGACGTTTATTTTACAGTCTAATGATTGCTCTATCTTGCTACGAAACGGCGTTCGCGAACCTCTGACGCATGCATGTACCGATCTTAAGAGTTCAAACGAGATCTGTGTCCTGAGCCAAGTGATTACAACATGATAAGGCTCGGTGTCTTTCTGAGCTATCTTGTCTGCGAGATGCTTTAAGAACCGCTGACACTCGTTTCCCATTCCGCCATTGGTTCCAAACACTAAAGGCGTAAACGAACCCATTTCGACATCTAACACCCGCTGCTGGTACTTGCGCTTCTTCTCTTCTTCTTGCTCTTTGAACACTTCCGATGTTGGCTTGCTCTGGTAACACTTGGAGTTGACGTGCGTAACTCTAACATCAAAAAATGCCGTAACTCCTCTTGCCCAGAAACCTCCCGCTTTGATGTCCAACCTTGCCTCAGAACTTGTAACAGCGCTCCTCAAATGAAATCGCTCGTTGTCCAGGGGTTGAAGGCGTGGTTCGATTTCGACATTATTGCAGATCTTGTCGATGAATGTCGTTAACAAGTTCCGTACACCATCATGTCTCTGCGCTACAAACCCCCCCTTTTTACAAGAGAGGGCGTGACTAACGGTGAATTTATCCCCACATATGCAATGACTTGGTAAATCGACTAAGGGTAAGTCATAACGCAAGCGTAGCGAGTCTCTGAACTCTTGCTTGTTGAGGGCTAAACCTTTGTCTGCGAGAGGCATCGCATTCAGCCAAGAACTTGCGCCCTTGTCCCTCGATTGATTAACCAGACGCAGCAGGCCTGGGGAGAGGCTTGAATCAATGCTATCCATTTTCTCTTTGGCACTTGCTCTCTTAAGTGATTGTTGATGCCTCTTTAGCTCCTCCGTAGATCTTTCTCCTGGCACCATGATGGAACTCTGTGATGTAATAGAATCTACGTGGGCGGTGGTTATTAGTCTCGAGGCAGCAAACTGCTGCGGTGCCTCGGATTTCAGATCAGGAATGCCTAGACCCCCTTGACCCGTTGCTAAGGTAGCAAGTCTGCGCACCTCGTTAGGGAGAGGCTCTGATTGACCGAACAAAGTAGGGAGTAGTAAATCTTCAATCACTTCCTGGATTGGATCGACATAATCTTCAAACGATTCAATCGTGCGCATGAAGTAGGTGAACTTCGACTTGTAGCCTTTTGTGAAAGCAATATACGCCGCATGGGGCTGGCTCTTCGCTATTTCAGAGAGACGTTCGATTTCCTCTTTCCATGCACGAACCTTCTCCTCACAATACTGATCTTTGTATTCTTGCGACGCAATAACTGCTCCCAGATGGCGCTGACCTTCAGTCGTTATGTTGACTTCCTCTCCAAACACCCTCTTTGCTTCCTCCGCTAGTTCCCTAGACTTCACAATAAGCCAGCTCTTTGTCCCATTCACAAGGTAACCAAACTTTTGTCCTTCCTTACTCAATTGCCTGTACCAGTTGTATAAGTGCACTATACTCCCTCCTCCAGCTGAGTCGTCTGCAAGCCACACCTGTTTAACCAATGGGCAATGATCCCTCAAATTCTGTATCATTATGGATGTATTAAGTGCATACCATGGCATCGCTAGCGGATCTCCTTGTGTGGTGCCTTCTCGAGAAAGTATTTCACCTCCCCCACAAATAAACAGTCTAGATGGGCTTCTATATGTGTTAATCACATAGAGCGCCATTTCTTTGCACATGATCTGGATATTGTGTAAGGCCGCTGACCTATTCATTTGGTTAAAAGCGTTACTAGCATCAATTAGCAATATTCCATCTGTTCCTTCTTCAACAAACACTTGACTCATTGCATGGATCGCAGCCTCCGCTCCTGCGTTATGACCAGCGCAAACTTGTAGGGGACCCGCCGCTTCTTTTATTTCCTCCTTTAAGAAACCGCTGACCGTTTTCCCCACTATTCTCCTCAGTACCTCTCCAACACCAATTGGTCTGATTCCCGGGTTCTTATCCAGCGGGATAAGCCTGCAGGACGTGAAAGCTTCAAGTAAGGATGGGTGGTACGATTTCCTTAGCAGATTTCTTGTGAACACGGCTAGCTCTTCTCTCAATATTTTGCCCTCGGTCTTGAAATTCTTAGAGCACAGGATTCTCTTATACAGCTCTGCGTCCATTCCAGATGGTCCGGCTGAGCCCTTGGTTTTACTTGCCGAGTTGTAGATCGATTCTTCGTCTATGAGGTCATAAACATTTGGCGGAATATAATCAATTGGGCCATGTAACAAACTCTCCTCTGCGATATCAGCTGCCTGTGGGTGTTTGTCCTGTAGCCCTTGCAGGACATCTGGCGATAGGTCGAGCAGACCGGACGAGCTCTCGTTATCTAGGAGTTTCATAGCAGCTGTCAATTTTCCTTGCAGAACCAGCTTTGAGAAGGCTTTGGATATGTCTTCAACCTTTCTAGGTTTCTTGGAATTCACAAATTTCCCTTGAAAGAACCTCACTTCTTTAAGCAACAAATCAATGTCCCCTTGTTTCCAGAGTGCTAATCGACGCTCTATTGCTTCACTATGCTCCTTGCTTTTGGAAGTAGCGGATGGTTTTTGCAAAATCAAAGTTGGGAGCACCATGAATGCTTTAAGAGCGACCGAGTTCAAGTCAGAGTCTGAATTAAATTGCTTAATCCAGAAGGTTAATTCTTCAATGAAACTCTTCCCTGCGCTACCCGATGGAACATTGAATATATTCCTCCTGTAGTGGACGATTTCATCGTAAACATCGTTGACAGTATTACAGAAACATGCGTAACTAATACTGCCCCAAGTTTTGTTCTTTGTTTCGGACGGAAGCACATCATAATCAGGCAGATTTGGCTTGATTTGATTTTTGGTGTTTTGATCCTTGCAAGTAGCGGTCCGTCCCTGGGGAGCTCTTTGATCAGCAATGTCGGAAGAAATATGCAAATTCAAACCTTCGACCACATTCACGGTTGACAAATTTTCACCTTCGCATTGGGCGGGTTCGAGACCCTCGGTTTGTGACAACATAGAGGCACCAACCTCTTCTGTTTCGTCTAGAACAGCTGAAGAGTCGCCTCTAACACTTATTTGGGAGTTTTCATCCGTTATCGCTGCTGCGTGGTCGCGAAGATTCTGAGCTGATAACCCCAAGTTCACGTATCCCATGCCATCCCATAGATCTTTCAAAATGCGCATATATCCTTTCTTCCGTCCGTTCTGGTAACATAGCGGGTTGCTTAAGCTTTTTAAGCTTAAGGCTTTTTCCTTGCATTCTAGTAAATCTTGATTCATCTTGTCAGTCCATTTTAGCCCTCCTGGTTTTCCAGCGAGCGAGCGACCTGCAGCCGCCGCCTCCGCCATTAATAATTTAATAATAATAATGATAATAATAATAATGATGGTGATGATAATGATAATGATAATGATAACGATAACGTTAACGATAACCATAAAAATAATGATAATAATGATGATGATAACGATAGAACGATAACGACAACGATAATAATAATGATGATGATAATGATAACGATAACGATCAAAATAATGATAATAATAATAATGATGATAACGATAACTATAACGACAACGATAATAATAATGATAATAATAATGATGATGATAGTGATAACGATAACGATTACAATAATGATTATAATAATGAAGATGATAATGATAACAATAACAATAATAATAATGATAATTATAATGATGATAATAACGATAACGATAACGATAATAATAATGATAATTATAATGATGATGATAATGATACAAACATTAACCACAAAGGATTGCAAAGGACTGCAAACGAATATGCCGAAGAACGTAGAATCTACAAAGACCTGATCAGCCAAATTGAAAAGTAGACATATTAAATTCTGCAAGCAGAATACTACAATGCTGATCGTACTTCGTGAAAATTAACTCTGCAAGACATCAACGCGACACCGAAAGAACTCAAAACAGAGCGGAATGTAATATGATAATGATAATGATAACGATAACAAAAACGATAACGATAACGATAACGATAACGATAATGATAATGATAATGATAATGATAATGATAATGATAATGATAAACATTTACAATTCATGATTCGTATACGATAGACTATAAACCTGGCCCGTCAAGTAAATCTCCCCTTCGTCTATGCACTTCCTTGTGCGCCAGATGGACGAAATATGATACTTTAGAACATAATTACTCACTTCTGCAATTGTATAAAGCATTGATTTCGACTGCGTCTCTGGTACTTAGAAGGTTATTCGGAGTTCCAAATTCCATGTTCTCGTTTCCAATGGCTACAATGGTGGGTTTGCCGTTCATCATAATGCATGACGGACTGATAATCGTAGGACACGCCCAAATTATCAATAGTCCTCCACGAATATTTGTCAAACAGGTCTTTATACTCTAAAATAAAACAAAATTAGGTAGGTAAGGTAGGTAACACACTTGGCTTAACGTATTTCTTGTAAAGAGATATTTGCGCTTATTTGACTATGAGGGAGCAATTCATGATATTACTCCATCATGCTAAAATTCAAGAGCGCTTTTTTGGTGCATATTATAACAATTGGAAAGTAACTGCGACCCCAGGAATGGTGAAAGATGCCAGAAAAAATGTAATTTCTGACGTTTGAGAAACATGGGAACGAATTGGACAGAAATAAATAGAAATTCTGACGGCACGGTTAAGGGGCGCGCGGCATTCGAGGGATAGTTTCGGATTATTTATGGTTTTGGCGCGAGAATTGTTCCTTTTCCCATGTTAGTGAAGTCAGAATAGATATCTGAACACTTCTAAAGATATCACGTAGATTTCAAAGTACTAGTATAATCAAACCAATATTTTCAATTGACAATTAAGTAAAAAGTCGTGTCGCCGAAAATAAATAGACCTTTTTAGCTTTCACTTTGCAACAATAGTTTGCCGTCTGTCGCTGATGGCCGGTTAACACAACGTAAGTATGATTCACTACTGTATGCAATATCTTACTAGGTAGAATGTTCTCCCAATAGATCTTGACATATTTATCTCGGTCGCTTCTTGATTGCTCGTGGAAGAAACCTGAAGCAGATATAAACAAAAAATTATGTCCCAAACATAATTACATTTTTGCGTCGGGATACCTGTTGTTATCAGGCACTGGCTGCGTGAACTGGGTACTAGGGAACATGTGATCGAGGATTTCTTTATAGTACGTTGCGCAAATACGAGGGCCCCTTTCTACCTCTACACCATCGTGTGGCAAGTTATCTGTTCAAATTTTCCCACCTACCTCCCCCTCTTCGCCAGCCAGTGTTTAGTTCTCTCTCGGAAGGCGCTTATTTCTTCCCCACCTTTTCCGAAGAGACATTCAATTACTTAATTTTTTTCCATGTCACGTCACGCTCTGATTAGTTTGTTAAGCGTGGCGTGACTTTTTACTGTTATATTAATAAATACGTCACAATAGTGGCCAATTTTATCCAACCATATGAGTACATTGTCTCTTCGTAAAACTAGTGCGACCCGGAGCTTATTACCCCTCGACTACCTAAGTTTGCGAGATTAGTAAATCTCTAATATATAACTTTCGGAAAGGTATCGTGATGTAAAAAAGATGCTATATACAACTGGACCTAAATTACCTGTGGCGGATCCAGAAGAGTGGCCCGGGGGGCCCGGCTCCCCCCCTTTTTTCTAGACCAAACTGAGGCGCGAAGGGCCGAAAAATTCTTTTTGGAGACCGCACCACCCTCCCCTCCCCCTTATCTCAAGGTCTGGATCCGGCACTGATTACTACCTGTATTTACTGGCATGGGTACTGACAGGACCAGGACTCCTGGACAGGACTTTACTAAAACGAGGAACCAAGAACGGAAACGAACCCAGTGAATGGGAAAATAAAAAAAAAAATGGGAACAAAAGGTAATTTAAACCGTACCCCTGTCAATAACTTCAGCGCCTATTCTTCCTTTTTTTCATTTTGCAGTTCCCCGTGCGCGCTACCCTTTCTCTCTTTATAGTAATACCTTCGTAGATTGCCATAACTAGTTCACATATTGTACAATGTGGTTCCCTAGCGTTAAAAACAAAGTTTTTGTAACGGAGTGCAATAAAGCAAAGTTAAAAACTGTTGAAAAGAAACGTCATTCATACTTCAAAAGTACTACAACCCCAACCATGTAAAATAGATCACACTGTAGTCCTGCATGCAAACCTCGAACGCCTAACTAGAACATGCGATAAGGGCACCGGATGATCGTTTGATCTTTTTGTCCATCGCATAAAAACGCGAGAGAAAAAGTTACCTGTTGCATGCATCATTTTCATACACGATTGCTGGGACGTCATAAAGCCATCAGCAATGGAGGTTTCTTGATAGCCGCTTTCAGCATATCGCTTTCCCACCTCTGATGAACACCTAAAATGATTGAACGTTTAGATGAAGAAAAGAAAAACTTCAGAAGTTTCTCAAATGGTTTTCTCTTAAATGCTTTAGAAGCCGGAGTGGTTTATTCTGAGCTGCACTAGAAACTATTTTATCCACTGGATTGTCTTAGGAGAATTTTGCTTGTCTGGACAATTTTTAAGGTTACTGGATATTTTTTCCAACCCTGATTGGTCCGATCAAAAGTTCTAGGACTGGAGTAGCCGTAGTTGTTATTTTCTATATAACGGTAAAAAATAGTGAATATCTTAGACGAATGAAACGGTTATCCAGAAAGGTTTAGCCTTTCTCGGGCTTTAGAAAATTGTAGGAAATATTTATATTTGCTCATTTGAACAGTGATTCACTTCAAAGAACAAAGTTGTTGGGTACTCCTATTCACGTGCGCATTTAACCAGGAGGAGAAAGAGAGGTTCGGGGGGGGGGGGGGGGGGGGGGGGGGGGGAGG